AACAGGGATCTAAGTGCGCCAAGTTCGAGAGTGGATGCTCAGCCTGCACCCAATTCCAGTGATGCTGTTGATAATGTACATGAAGTTCAGGAGGGGAAAATCACTTCTTGTGATGGATTCGGTATCCATCATGTCCGCAATAGCTCAATTGTGTCGCAGGAAGCTTTTGCTACTGAGCGTAGCCGTGATTCCAACATGCCCTCAATATCTAATGTCCAGGACTTGCAATCTGGTAGTGTTCTGGTTCCAGAAGATCTTCCTTTTGGTGACAACTTCTTTGTGAAAGATGAGCTTTTGCAAGGGAATGGACTATCTTGGGTACTGGATTCAGACCCAAATGCGGGGGAAAGAAGGGGTAATCAAGATGGTGAAATGAAAGAGAAAGTGCTTGATGAATTGAATGGACGAAATACAACGGCAATTGAATCGCCAGAAGTTTTGGCATCCAAGATCGAAGCTGAGCTTTTTAAATTATTTGGGGGTGTTAATAAGAAATATAAAGAGAAGGGCAGGTCTTTGTTGTTCAATTTGAAGGATCGTAGTAATCCTGAACTGAGCGAAAGAGTTGTTTCTGGAGAAATTCCTCCAGAAAGACTTTGCTCTATGACTGCCGAAGAACTTGCTTCGAAGGAGCTTTCCCAGTGGCGAATGGCAAAGGCTGAAGAGCTTGCTCAAATGGTAGTTTTACCGGACTCTGAGGTTGATATCAAGCGTCTGGTGAGAAAAACGCATAAGGGGGAGTTTCAAGTGGAAGTGGAGCAGGATGATGTCTCAGTGGAGGTTTCTAGTGGGGTAAGTTCTGGTACTCGTGATCGGAAAAAAGCTGATGATCAGGAATCCCCTGTGAATAAACCTGGAGAAAGGGATGAGAACATGAAGGCTGGAGATAGAAAGGGTGATTTAGCAGTCCAGGGTGCTGCATACACTCTTACAATTCCAACTGAAGACCATGCACCAGATGTAGATATATTGGAAGAAAATGTGACAAAGGATCTCCCTCCAATTGTGTCCCTAGATGAATTTATGGAATGCCTGGAATCGGAGCCTCCGTTTAAAGATTTACAGGAGGATGCTGGAAAGTCTGAGCCTGCATCTGAAAAGGATTTGAAGATTAGATCCCCTGAGGGAAGTCTGAATGATTCAGCTGATATGACTGAAAAGAAGTCTGTTGAAATATTTCAGCCTGCCTCTGAAAAGGATTTGAACGCTAAATCTCCTGAGAGAAGTCCGAATAACACCACTGATATGACTGAAGAGAAGTCTAGTAAAGTTGAGGAAACATCGTCCCCGACTGACATCGACATTACATCTAGTGACCACCATGGAAAATATGAAAGCAAAGATCCTGCAGTAGCATTGAAGGGTGAGCTAATTTGGGAAGGCTCCCTTCAAATTATAACTACCATGATCTCAGTTATTGGCATTTTTAAGAGGTAATTAATTTTGTGGTTTTGGTTCTCTTTTTCTGTTTAAGTGTGAGGTCTGGTTGAAGGGAATTTTACTTGTTGACATTTACCTTTCCATTTACTTGTAGCATTTAAATTTGACTTTTAGTTCATAGAGAACACCTGAAAGCTTTTCCTACATATAAATATTGATTTGTAAAGTCATTTAGATCTTTTTTTTATAATATTTAAAAGATAAAAGTATTTTTCCAACTTCAAAACGGAAAGTAAAAAGTACGTACAAAAAATTTTGTACATTTGGACCAGTGATCTTTGTTAGAAGATTTGCTATACCTAGTAGGAAGAGGTAGTACTGAGCCTCATGTTGGCTGTTGGTATGGTCCTGCACTTGCAATTAGGTTTTCTAACTTCATCTTGGAAATAGGCATTTTGCATAGTTGTTAATAAGGATGTTCTCAGTGGTGATATGTCCATATCTGTGGGCTCAGGAGGCTGCTTTATGCAAGACCTTATTGATTAGGTTGCTTTATGAGTTAGGCTTTTAACTTACATGAAGTTAACCTGCATTTGTTTGATTGAATGTAAGCTGGCATTTGATGACTTGTACTTTAGTCTCCTTTTGCCATGTTATGAGGTATATATATAAATGTTCTGGGTATCCTAGTGATGTCTTTTTGGTTAGCAATGTCCTTTAATACTATGATGTCCTTTTGGGTATCGATTTTTCCACCAGCGGTGAGAAGACGTCATCGAATGATTGGAGCAGCTCTCTAGAGATCAAGGGAAGGGTCAGACTTGATGCATTTGAGAAGTTCCTTCAAGATCTTCGAATGTCTCGTAGTCGTGCAATCATGGTATCTCGAGATCTTTTCTTTTCCATTGAAAACTTTATGTACTCGGAATTTTGCTGCGCAGTAATTATTTGGGAGGGGAAATGCTACTAATATATCTGTTGATATATTTCTCAATTTTCTTCAATATAGTCCTACAATATCAGTTCTCTGTGACGCAAGCTAGGTTAATTTTATGATCCATGCGAGTGTATGGTTAGAGAACCGAGAGATACTGAGTGAGGTAAAAAATTAAACCCATTCATACTTCAAGGATTTTCCTTTTTCACTGTGCATGCCCATCTCAGCTGATTTGCCGGAAGTTCGCATTTCAAGATTCCTGGTGTTGCGCTTGTCAACTTTGAGAAGCTCTTTAGCTTGATAATATATATTTTAGCAGAGAGTTAAAATGGAAATGAAATTTTCATTTCAAGCAGATGTCTTGGAAAGCTGTGAAGAACCGGGTGGTACTTTGTGGTAATCATTTCTAATATTGTCCAAAATTTGTAACTTAGAGTGCAAATGGCAAGGTGAGAGTTGGAAATCACGTTCCCAGATTACTTGAGGAAACTTTTCGCCGGTGGGACATGTATAATTTTGATCGCCTTTTATGATTCTCTGTGAGGAATAGAAACACAACGGTTCACTACCTAAGAAAGTTGAGGGGCGTCAATTAAAGCTAATGTGACCCATTCGTTGGTTCAACTTTTGCAGGTGGTGCATTTCGTTTGTAAGGAGGAATCATCTGAAAGCGAGCGTGCAAGCTTTTGTGAGGTAACAATACTTCATCAATTTACTGCCAACCGGGCGTCATATTCGCGTCCTCTTCTGATATATGGCGTCTCTCCAGGTCGCGGATTCGTATGTCTTAGATGAGAGAGTGGGTTTTGCTGAGCCTTCCCAAGGAGTGGAACTCTACCTTTGTCCACCTCATGCCAAAATCCGCGAAATGCTCAGCAAGATCCTACCGGAAGACCAGCTTAACGTGCTTAGCGATGTAGAAAACGGCCTAATTGGTGTTGTTGTATGGAGAAGAAGTCATTTAACTTCCGCAATACCATCCCACACCACTAAATTTACCTCGAAAAAGCAGCATTTCTCCTCAAGGAGGCATCAAGAAAAGGATGTAAACTTTAATTCGAACTTGCCACACGGGCGTCTTGCCCATCCTAGTAGCATGCGACCACAACCTAGTGTTGATGGGGATGACGATGACGATGTTCCCCCTGGGTTCGGGCCCGGTGCAGCGAGAGCTGCCCGGGACGAAGATGACCTACCGGAGTTTAATTTTTCTGGCGGGTCGAGGTCAATGGGATTGAACCCGACCCAGAACGTGTCTGCGGGTTCGGGACTGGCTCCCTCTTATGGGCATCCCCGGCCGCCGGTAGACCACATAAGGGAACTCATACATAAGTATGGACAAACAGGAGTGGGAGCTCCTCCAGAAAACTTTGGCGTTCCTGTTCAGCCGTGGAACGATGACGACGACGACATTCCAGAGTGGAACCCACAGGGCTTATATAACTTACGACAGCCATCGCGGGGTGGTAGGCCGGATGCACGCGTTGCATCTGCCCAGCGCTCGCAAAGCCCCAGTGCCTATTTATCGCGAGAACCGTTAGCTAGGAATGCACAGCGGCCAGCTTCTTCAGGCTTGCATGGAGGCCAAGTCTATGTAGCGCCCCAGGCTCGGCCACCGGGGTGGCGGCAAGAGACTCGTAGGGATAGGGGGTTTTGATCTTTCTTTTTGGTTGGATGTAAATTTGGCTGTAATCACTCTTTTTTGGCTCTCGTTTTTTGGAGAGATTTGGGCAGTACTGTAAGTTGGCATTCTTAGATTATTGTCACCTTTTGGACTTGGCAGTTTTTTGGTTCTTTTGGTCGGAAGCTTCGCTCTTTTTGAATGGTTCTGATGATTGCCGTCACGTTACTTTTCGCATTCATTCTTTATTTCGTTCTTTTTGCACGTTCACGCAGAATGAAAAGGCAGAAAAATTACGAAACCACTTTTCCTGAACCTGTGATGAATTCATAAACCGATGTGGATCTCTTTCTCAGTATCTTTTTTCCAGTTGATTCAAGAATGGAATTTGCAGGTTCATAAAGTACAGATCTGTTTGTGCTTCCAACGAGGGGATGTAGTTTTTAGAAAGTGGGTGTGATCCATTTGATCGGCGATCTATACAAGCTTTCTTCTGGTTATGTTGAATGATGTATTTTCTGAGTGAGTGGTTATTTAGGGGGTTAATATCACGAAAAACCCCAAACTGGTACACCTATAATAAATTTACCCAAAAATAATTTTTTGACAATAGAAAATCTCAAATTGGTACACCTGCGGCAAATTTATCCTTCGTTAGTTTCCGTTAAATTTTGCTGTCAAATTGCTTATTTAAATGACACGTGGTAGTTGACGAATGTACCAGTTTGAGGCTTTACCACTGTTTGTAACAGGTGTACAATTTTTTGAGTTTTTATTATTATTATTATTAATTCAATTTAACAGATGGTAAATTTGTCATAAATGTACAAATTTAAGATTTTTTATGATCAAAAAATTAATTTAGAGTAAATTTGTCACAAGTGTACCAATTTAGCATTTTTCGTGATATTAATCCTTCTTTAGGACGTGGGTGTTTGATCCAACTGGTTACAAGATAACAAGGGAAAAGGCGCAGCCAGCAGCCTCTGTGAACTTCGCAGATCTGTTGATCTTGCCCCCACAAAGAGGACGAAACATGGTTAGCAGAAGACAGTATGCGTCAACCCGGAACTGATTGTCCGTAATTTTCACGCTATGTAACATAGAAAAGAAGGAACACCATCACTGTTCAACTCTGATCAATTACATGAAGGGTGATATCTCTACCCTCAAAAGGGGTTTCGAGGGAGATAAAAGAAAGAATGTGGAACGGATCACATAGGATGTCCTCATGTACAAACATCTCCGATCAGTGTTTGCCTCGGCCGACATCCGGAAGCCGCCGCGAATGATGCTTTTCGCTGTGCAGTCGTGTGTGCATGTATAATGTATGTAGGTACGGTTGTCTCAACCCCCGAGTGCGCGCTTGAGCCCCGCTCGTTGCTCCTCCGTCAATCTGGTCGGGAACTTCACCTCGAACTTGATCCTCAGATCTCCCCTGTTCCCGGGCTCCTTCACTATGGGCATCCCTTCCCTCGCGACTACCAGCTCGTAACCGGGGCTCACGATGTCTGTCACTGGGATCGACAGGTCCCGGCCATCTAGCGTGGCGAGATTCACGGTCGTGCCGCCGATCGCCTCCGCCAGCGTCACCCTGTGGTTCAGGATGAGGTCATTGCCGTCTCTTTTGTAAACGTCGTGGGCCTTCTCGTCTATCACGAACACGAGGTCGGCGGGGAGTTGGTTCGGCTGCTCGTTCCCTTTGTCGGGGAAAGTGATCTTCGTTCCTTTCTTCCATCCGGGTTTCACCTCGATCGTCAGTATCTCCGTCTCCACGGTGTGTCGGCTGTGGCATTAGATCTTATGGTTAGCGAAAGAAGTGGGTAATGTGGCATGAGCTTGTCTAGTCATTGGCATAGCGTAGCCTAGGATGACCAGAGAGCTCATGGCATGCTGAATTTGATGAACATTAGATGAGTCTAAACACATTCTCAGACAAGATTGAGAACATCAACCGTTACATGAAAACAGAGAGTTGGATATGGCCAATGAACAAATTCACTAATTCGGGGATAAGGCGGTCGATAGCTAGTTCCGAATTCACGAACGGCTTCAGCTTTACGGATGTTCGAAATAGTGTGATAACCATTGTATCTGACTCGAAAAGAAGTTAGAGCAAGTTTGACAGATTGCTACACAACAGATATGATCATGTTCTTAATAGTTTCACAAAGCCGCGAGTTTTTTACCAGTTCCTTGCCAAAACTTTACTAAGTTCGCATCGACCAAAATGGAAGCTTACACAAGGATAATAGGTGTGCATACCCATTGGCGTCCATCACTGTTCTTGATATCTTCATTTTCCTTGTCGATCCCGAGTATAGTTCCTCGAGAGTGCAAGGCAGCTTGCTCTCGATCGGTGGCGGCTTACGGGGCATAGCGCCACCCCCTTCGCTATACGTTCGGAAAATGTTCTCGCCTCCGCCAAATCCCCCGAACATTCCTCCGCCCCCATCCGATTGGAATCTCATCGACCTTCCAGGTCCTGATGACCCAAACTCGAAAGGGCTACTCCCGAAAAACTCCGCGAATATGTCTTCTGCGTTTCTGGGGTTGAAACCGCTCGAGTTGCCGCTGCTACCGGGAGGGGGCATGTCCTTCAAGCCTTCCTCGCCGTACTGATCGTAGATCACCCTTTTCTGAGGGTCATTCAAAACCTGCATCAAAGTGGGAAAGCACATTCAATGTCACGATAAACCAGCAGTAGCAGATGCTTTATTCAACAGATTTTTATGCAACACAACACACGCAATAACACAGATGCATTCGAAAACAAATTTAGAATGATACTTTTGGGGCGTCATATGCAAAACAATGAGCAGTTGATTCTTCTCTCATCGGCCTACATTTCCAAGAATTTTTTCTATTAGGGGTTGACATGGATGTCTATCTTCGACTCAACTAATGCCTACAAATGCACGCAAACCGTCCTGTCCACCTATGCAGGGCAGGCTGTGGGCATGGCCTATAAGGTTAGTGCGAGATTCTATAATTCAAACACGAAATCTGCTGCATCCTCGACCGCTCAGCCAACCCGAAGAGTTACATGTCCACGATTTCAAGACAGAACATGAAGTTATATGGAGGAAATCAGAACGAAACAAAAGAGGGGGAATTGCCTCATAGGCTTCAGAGATCTGCTTGAATTTGGCCTCGGCTTCCTTCTTGTCGTTGGGGTTCTTGTCGGGATGCCACTTCATTGCCAGTTTCCTGTACGCCTTCTTCAGATCATCGTCCGTCGCGTTCTTGTCCACCTTCAATATCCCGTAATAATCCACCCCCATTTTTCTGTTCTCTCCCTAACGTTTCTTGAGATTCTGAGCCAAACCCAGAAGAGAGAATTGCAAATCCTCAAAATGGCGACAAACTCAAGATCCTACAAAGAATCAACTGATATCAAACATCGATGGAGATGGTCCTAGAATGCGTGAATTATATCTCTCCCTGCCTGGCTCGTTTGGTATCTAGAATGATCAAGATCAGAAACATAACAGCCTCCGGTGTTGAGCTAACTCATCAATGAAACAAGTTTCTCTCTCTCTCTCTCTCTCTCTCTCTCTCTCTCTCCCTATCTTTCTCTCTCTCCCTAACTTGCATCCTCCGACAATCAAAGACTTTTAACAGACAGAAATTCAAGGGAGCTCCAGGAGCATCCACGTGGATGCGTGTCTTTGTCTAATCGTTTTGTTTCATCGCAAATCTCTCTCTCTCTCTCTCTCTCTCTCTCTCTCTCTCTCTCTCTCTCTCTCTCTCTCTCTCTCCCTGTGGATAGGCTTGTGCTTCTATCATGCTAACTTTTGAAACTTTGTCAAGAGGATGAACTGAGATTTCCCATGCAATCAAAAGACATGCAGTCGCGTAAAAACCAAACAAACTTACAACATTTCTTTAACCTCTTTTATCCTTTCAATCCTTTTGTTCTTCCTAATATATGATTTTGTTTCTGTTCTTTTGCTTTTACAAGATCACGGTTGATCTCATGAAACACGTTGAGATCTATATCATTGTCGAATTATTTTTCCGAGCACGGCACCGACGACGACCACGGTTCTGTATTTTCTTGCCCTCTGCTTAATCTTTTGGCATCGGAATATATATGAATAAAGTTCCTCACGCGTGTCTCGCCAGCTGCAGATTTCTGAAGGACAGGCTTTAAATTTTCTAATTTACGTCGTTTGTATGTTTATGACTGTACTCGCAGAAAAATTCTTGACAATTGCAGAAGTCGAACACAACTTGTAAGCCAAGGGTCCACAATGACTTCTACATAGCTGACCAAATTATCAGGTTGTTGTTAGTACGACAGTGGTCATGGCCGGCCGGCTTGTTAGGGTCGTCATGGCCCGGGGCCGACCGGCCTTACGACAAATTGGGCGAATCTGAGTGAGCGATTCTTCCCTTGGGTCCGGGCTGCTTACCTTTGCCCGCCTACGCCTTTTCAATATCGTATTTAATGTATTTCTGGATCATGAGCGGACTTGAGCAAGAAGTTTCAGATTCGATTCTAGGCGTGACCCGTCCAGACCCGTCCACTGTCAGATTTAGCTAATAAGTTGCGTTGCATCACTTTGTTCGTGTAACTATTTCGTCATTGCCAAAATAACACATAGTTTCTTAGAAACACTATATTTTTTTATTTTTCGCAAAAAAATTGACGTTTCTGAAAATAGAGAGGTTATATGGGCCTCTAAATTATTTCAAATTTAAAAGAAAATCTTACTTTAAATATAAAACGCAGATATAATTCTAAGGGCTAATATTACAAAAAATATATGCCCACTATAACACTTATCTCAGAAACTGTTTTATATATCATAAAAAATCTTAAATTATGCTCAGTGTAACCCTAACCAATACCACAATTTTTTTTTTGTGTTCCCAAAACTCCCAAACTTGTAGTAGTGCGACAAATTTTTTTAAATTTTTGTCACATTGGCACAAATTTAGAGTATTAATGACACAAAAAAGAAGTTTGGGTTACACCAAGGTTTACGATTTTTGTGGTAAACATAGTAATTTGTCAAACTCGTACAATCTCGGGGATTTTGTTGATAAAAAGAAAAAGTTTGGAGTATTGGTGTCACGGTAAGCATAGATTGTGATTTTTCATGGTGTATTTCCCTAATTTTCAAACGATAAAAAGTACGACTTGATTTGGCATTATCATTTTGCTTTGGAAAAAGAAAATGAAACTGGATCAAACTGCACAGACGATTTGATTTCATCTGTAAATCGTTCTTTCCAAATAAAAAAATTGCACTTGGACCAAAACAAACCGCTAAACAACAGTTTAGTTCAATGATGCGAACTGTTTTCTTCTTACTCTAGGAGTGCCTGTTCTCATAGTCTAAAGAGAAATATCAAAACCGACATACGTACAATGTCATTGACTAGTTAACATTATTAGGTGAAAAATGAAACATTAGATGATGAGATATGCTCATATCGATATGATTCTACATATCGGTGTTATCAATTGTAACTTTTGAACATGCTACATGAATACAAGCTTTTCTTATTTGAGTGCGTGATGTCATGTCAATACGTTGCTAGCATAACTGTCCCATGAACCACCTACACTGTCGCCCTTGCACAACGACCTCCAAAGACCAACTCGATTGGCACAAAGCTTTCTAAAAGGAAAACGAACTCGCCGCCGCCGCCGCCGCCGCCTCTACCCTCTTGGAAATCACCTCCGTGCTAGGCTGCGGGCGCACAAATTCCACAAGTCTTCTCCCTCGCCATCAACATCTACCTCGCTCATGGGTGACTAATGACTATCATTCCTGATCATGACGATGAATTGGGAGATGGCAGTTTCCAGCATCCATATGCTAATGTAAAAGTCGTCTAAAAGCCTTACAATTATTGAGGAATAAACAATTTATGATCTCCCAGTCATATATATCATAGGCCATCTCAATCGGTGACCATGTGAGCTTCGGACCCATTTAATTAGTAATCACGATGATATTAGTCAACATCATCCAATCGGAGATTTTTTAGGTATACATTATTATTGAGCAAGGAATGCATTATTTCTTATAGAGAAAGAGAGAGTGTGTGTGCTTGTGGCTATGTCAATCTTTAGCCTGGAGTAAATGCCAGTATAAAAGTCGTCCGGAAGCCATACTATGAAGTTTTAATGAAAATTGATGTATGATCTATACATTATATAAACTTTAAGTCCGTTTCAATCATTAATCATGTAAGCTCCACGATAGGACTCATATAATTAATAATTGAGATGATATTTGTCAACGCGATCTACAGAAATGCAATAACTTCTCAGCAGTAAGCTATCCTTTTTTCTCCTCCATTTAATACAAATCACTGATAAGTCTTAAAATCGAGTTTGACCTCGCACAAATGTTGCTAGTTACTTCTTTACTCACTCTTTCGCGCTACTTTAAAGATTGTGCTTCTCCCTTGTGCAGATCCTAACATCCTCGATGAGTAATGAACCGCCTTTCTGTTCAAGAACTAAATTCGGTTTCTTAAATATATTTCCTTTAGTAAGATACCATACCAGAGCTCAATCATGTGCTATGAGCATGCGTGTGGTGGACAGATTTACGCATAGAAAGGAAGCGTACAATTTAGTTGGTCATTCTTAGAAAACTATTGAAGGGTGGTTTTGAAAACCTAAAAGCGAGACAAATGACAATTGTAGTTTAATAGCTAAGATGTTTGCAAGGATGTTCGTGTGACAGAAATCCTACATCGAATATTTGGTGGGTGTAAAATAGTTAATATATTTAAGTTAGCTCATAACTCATTGACTTAAATTTTTAAGTGAAAATAAATCTAACTGGATATGTTAATAGGCTCGAACGTGAACTCCCTCTTTGTGATCTCTGCAAACGAAAAGTATCAAGCTTCTTGCTGCGCACTCCTAATAATATCAATCGTACTTATTCAATGGTAAATCATTTCAAGAATCATATGAGGCCCATTTGTTTTTCCTCTCAAGGCAACGACCCATGAGAACTGTTGCTATACTATATGAGAACTCTTGATGTCCATACCCACCTCCTCTCTCTCTCTCTCTCTCTCTCTCTCTCTCTTGCAGTGGTGAACAGGAGATTCAACCTTGAGGAGATCCGGTCAGGCCACCGGCGGCGGCCAAAAATAACTTTTTCAGTAGACAGATTCTCTCTCCTCATTTTAGGCTAAGTTAGTTAATATAGTGCTAGGGAAACTGGATCTGAGTGGAAACAGCACACAATATACACTGTTTCAATGACATCAAGAAAAGGCACAGCAGGGCGATTGCAGAGTACGCCGAGACAGGAAATTCAAACAATTACTCCACGAGAATTCGCCAGTGTGCTGATCATATCTCCTGGGCACGCCGGGGACATCATATACAAAAATCAGCAGCTCTCTCAAGATGACTTAGGCATCACTTTCGGAATCTGATCACAAACTCATAATCATCTTGCCAACACCAATTCGGTTTTAAAGCGCTAAAGATTTTGCAGATTCGAGCAACGAGGGCTCTTGAAACAAGAAAAACAAAAGTGGTGAGCATAGAGAACATTGCATATGAACAAACCATCGACGACTATACAATGCTGCAATGTACCCTGTTTTGGGGTTGCCCCTTCTTGAACAACAAATATGTAGAAGGGGAAAAGCGCAGCTATTTTTTCCGACTCAATGATGTGTAGAGTGGTGGGTTGGATCAGATCAGCCAGATGATGAAGCAGTTGCCTCACCCTTCACACTCTTCAATTTCACATATCCAGACTCCACAACAGAACTAGGCACTGCGACATCACCAATGTCAAGAGTTTCTGGTAGATTTTCAGGAAAGTCATCGAGGTTGAACTGCATAAAGAAATGATCCAGCTCTTAGGAATATGAACAACATTTAGAAAAACAGATTTTGATGAAATCCACACAGAGATGCAACATTTGACCAGGTCAAGTAGAAGTGCAATATCAATATACTATTTCCAACTAGTCGACGTCATCTTATTTAGAACAATTATCGGATTGGCATATCTTTCACCTGTTATCAGAATGATACGGCACCGTATGAACAAAAGTATTTTCCTTGTTAATCCAGATGGAATCATAGTATAGAGAAGGTTAAGTAGAGATCTACACATAAAAGAAATCTCTTGCCACAAATAAAATGTGAACTATGAATAATTCAACTAAAAGATTCTAACCAAGCATATTAAAAATTACCAAAGCACATTAAAAATTACCATTATTGGATGTTAATTAATCATCTTCAGATAGTCCATTCATGCTTGTCAACTATTTTTACTCATCTCATTTCAGAGTCCAACAGGTAGCTGGACAGGACAAACACGCCACCCCTATTCCTCACAAAAATTGCATAGAATACTTATATAATCATGTTCAACTTCAAAAAGCAATTGGAATCTGTCCTTGTAAATATGCTAAAAAGAGCTGACAAAAGTCACCTCAAGCTGGCTCAGCATGTCAATAGTTGCATCCAGATCTCCCTTATTTGCCAGGTAGACATCAGCTATGGATTGATCAGATAGTCCAGGAAATTGCATCTGAAGATACTCTAGGTCCATTTCCAATTCCTCATCAGGCAACTGTTTGTCTGGAAAATTAATTGGTTGCTTTGACGTTGAACCATGCGCAGAGTGGCTCTTTGAAGAGAAATACTCTACAGAAGGAAAATTTAAAGTCTCATGGAAATTTGGGTGAATAGCTGCTCTCCCTCGGTCC